GCACAAGCGAGAGCGAGCAGGAGGAGGAGGAAGAGGGAGAAGGAAGATATAGAGTCCCCAAAGGTGCTCCACCTAGTGATCTACTTTCTCTAGCTAGGCCCCACCTCCAACATTGCTTGCACTGGAGACCAAGCCTTCAATACATGAATTTTTGCTGTGGGGGAGCGCATCCCACATGCAGATCATAACATTTCAACCCTGTGCCCCCCACAAGCTCATTCTCATCTCCAATTTAATGCAAATTTTAGTCCATCTCCAAGAGCCCCCATGTTCTTAACAGCTCCAGCATTGTTCCAAAGTCCAAGTCCAAAGTCATCTCTGAGGCTCAAGGCAAACTCTTAGCTGGGAGCCTCTGTAAGAATCAAAAAGCAAGTTACATATATCCAATATATAATGGCACATAGTAAACATTCCCATTCCAAAAGGGAGGAACAGGAGCAAAGAAAGAAGGGATGGGACCAAGACAGAACCAGCAGGGCAAACCTTGAGTGATACAGCTCTATGTCCAGCATCTGGTCACAGAGTGGTGGGATATGGACCCACACTGCAACAGCCCCCTACCCCCACGGCCTTGCCAGTTGCAGCCCACACGGCCTCTCTTGGGCTAGCCCTGCTTCCTGCCTGCAGCTCTGCTTAACAGACATTCCACATTACTGCATCTCTTAATCCCAGGGTCTCCCCTGTAGCTTTGGCTTCACTCTCACAGCTTCACACACTGACCTCTCAGGATCTGCCTGCAAGGACTCTGACCCTGGCACAAATGCCTGGCCTCCCAGGCCTTCCTTTGAGATCTCTGTGGAAATCTCCATGACCTTGTGACCCCAGCGACCTTCTTTCCTGCAAACCCAGCACCACATGGACCATGTCAAGGTCTATTGTCTGCCTGAGTAGCAGCTGAGTCTCCTTGGATTACGGCTGCACCAGTCTCTGAATGCCTGGGTGGGGCAGCACAGTGAAATGTATCCTGGGGGGAAGCAACTTCTTGGGCAGCTCTGTGCAAGCAGGGTGCCCTAGTACTCTCTTCTTAAAACAAAGT